GAGTGTTTTGAAAATGGAACATTATTGCATAACTTTAATTGCCTTCAGATATAATGACATTCTAATTTAATTGTGCAAAGAAAATATGAAGGGTACCTATAATGCATTTAACAATATACAAGTTTGAGTTGGAATTATGAATTAAACAGTTGAATTTATTAGCTAGGCATAGGAATCCTAAAAATAGAATTGTTCTGATTAAATAAACTATCAAATGGAATAGGAAATTTTGAAGGGAAAACTGATGTACATGAAATAGAATGGAGTAGTATACAAGTGATTTTTAACTACTGCGTAGTGATATACTCGACGTATCATACTATTTAAGGTAATCAGTTGCTTTGTAAAAACCGCAATACACTGGAATTATTTTTTTTAAATTTCCTCTTAGCCCCGCCCCTACGTGAGAATAAAAGTTCGTGACGTAGTTTTTTTTCCAATTTGGCAACACATCACGGTTTTGAGAACGTACAAGTTGCAGTAGTTGCACTGACATTGACCGTTAAGAACGAAACGTCAAATTTTAAGTGTCAGATGTCATGATTCACACGACAACACACGTCGTTGAACTGTTGGATTCAGCTGTCGTTTTGAAGCATTTTGAGCAGCGTTGCCAGTTAGTCTGCGGCTCGAATACTATTGGTCGCCGCTGTGGCGCTAAATTCAAATTACAGTTTGTTTTTCTCTGACTAATAGGGAACTTGCAAGTGAACTAAAATTTTCAAAATTTGTTTTAAATCGATAGTTTATGCTGCACAATATTCATATGACCACTTTTTATTTAACTGATACCGCCCTTGTTACACAAAAAAATAATATTAAATTTGAAATAAAAATTTTCCCGCCAAAACAATGCCTCTATGATGGATACCTGTTTTGACGTCACGATTCTGTAAACAAACCCGTCAATAGGGAAATCTGTGATAGGGAACTTGCACGTTAAAAAAATACAAAAGCAGTCCTTCACAATATTCTCCATCCATTGCGGCAATTTTCATAAAAAGCAAACTTTAACACACTTGAATAACACAAAAATAGCACTGCGTCAGCAGGAGTTGATTTGCTGCGTATTTGATGTTTACAAAATCTCAACGTCACAAGCGCTGTCAAATTGGGATTTCGTGTTTTCGCGCCAAAGTATTTGATTTGAATTTCAATAAAAAATTTTTCGTACAACGTATAAATTGAAATGGAAAAAAATAAAACTATGTAATAACTGATCACTAGAAGTATCTAAAAAAAAATAATTTGAGAAATATGAAAATTTCCTATTCTATAGATCCTATGCTGGAAAATAATTTAGTATCCCAGTATACCATCACCATTTAGCCTATAGAATAATGTCGAGCAGTTTTTTTACTGATTTTCATACATAGTATACTACCCCATTGTTGTCTTAAAATAATGGAAAGTTGTTAAAGCAAAAAGGGAAATGGGATGTGTCGAAAAGAAACTTATGCATGAAATAAGATTGTTGACGGTTATCATTCAATGTAATGGAGTGGTTAGTTTAAGAGCTGTTGTCCTTCATGAGATAAAACTGCTGACGATTATCATTAGACGTATTGAACAGGTTTATTTGAAAGGATAACGCACACCTAACATGGGATTTTTGGGCTCTATGGATTTTGCCCATTTTTTGACATGTTGTAGAGGATTTAATTCTGAACAACCTTTAAATGGGACGAAATCTTGTAGGTATTACGGTCTTTGAGATATGAGCGTTGAGAGACGAACTTTTTTGCGACTTTTTGTGTGAATTGGTGAAAAACAATTGGAAAAACAACATACCTTGTGTCAGTGAATGAAAAAATATGGAAAAGACATGCAAACCAGCTTCAGAAGATGCAAACCAGGCAAACAGAGCACAACAACGCTAAAGAAGCAACAAAACCCAATGACAAGACACAAATAGTGTCAAAAGTACCTTATGTGAGGGAAGGTCCTGGTTAAATTGGATAATAATTAACTCCACTTCTCAATGCAGGACTCTATTAAACATGGTAAAGATACAGCAAGATAGAAATCGTAATGACAACATAATGACAATTATAATAATAATAATCAACAACCTTTGATAACCATAGGTAACGACTGATAACCATTGTTTCTCCCTTGGCTGCTGACATCTTGTCATTTCCTGGGACAGCAGGTTGGGTTCACAGTGGTTTAGTATCCCAATATTGTACAGTGGTTCCCACACTTATAACCCTGACAAGACAAATAGCGTTACTAATATAAAAAACACACCCATAACTCAGAAAGTACCTCCATAACCAAGGGCCAACCATGTATCTCAGACGATACTATGAACAGTAGTGAGAGTTTTAGTGAAAATGACTTTCAAGACTGTAGTTTAAGTGACGAACTGCTACAAGATAGTGACGACACAACAGACGTACCATCAACTTCAAAAACCAACACTTAAGTCAATTTTTCTAGCAGGTTCAACGAGCAAGCGACCAGAACCACACAAAGCAACCTTGCAAAAAAGACCACAGCTACAAAGCACCAGAGCCAAAAGAGTGAAGACCGAGCAAGAACCGAAGATAGACGTTCCACCCGAGCACGGAAACCACCTTCATATCTAAAGGAATACACAACCGAGATTGGAGAAACTGAAGAATTTGAAAACATTTAGCTTTTTAATTGCCACACAATGTTAAGCTACATCCTCAATCAATCTGGTAGCGAAGTGGCACTTCGGCACGCGTGCTGGAAAATTGATACCCATCCTCAATGCTGTCAATTTATGTAATTTAATTTAATGTACTGCGCATGACAGAAGTCGTCACGCATCGAAAAAGCTTGCAGCTTGCACTACAGAGTCGGCGTGCATGCTAGCACGGAATTGAATTGAGGATGCCAACGTTAAACAACATTGTCCTAGCATGTGTGTCGAAGTGCCACTTCGCTATCAGATTGATTGAGGACGGGCCTTTAAGGATAGGTGATTATTGATTAATGTATGTAATTGTATAGGTAATGAAAAAGGCTTTACAGAAGTCCTAAAATTGTATAGTATTGTCAGTGGCGGCCAGTGGCAACCCAGTGTGGTTGTGCGCTCTTGGAAAATTTTTTGGAGGTGCCACGTCCTGTTTTACATTTATTTTGTATTTTGATTTTTTTTCTTTTTACTTTAGGAAAAATTATCGAAAACAAAAACATATGTATTTAAATGAGGCTTGAATGTTTGTATTCTAGCCATAATACATAATTGATACTGAAATTTATAATTAAAAAAAAAACCGCGAACAACAGAGTTGTCAAACCGCCAAAATGGTGAAAAAACATCGAAAAATTCTCGATTGAGTGTAAACAACATTGGAAGTGTGTATTCAAATAGCGCACGGCGCATCCCTTTCATCGGGCGACTTGCCGTATATTCCCGATCAATGGCACAGCGAGAAAACACATTTACCCAGAGCGCCGAACGATTCCACACCGACCACCCGGACCACCAGCACAACCAAGCGGGAGAAAAAAATATACAAGACAGGCGCAGGGCGCGCTTTCGTTCCGTTCGAGTTCGTGCGAATTTAAAAATAGAAAAATGAGTAGATGTTTATCCTAATTTAGAAAATTGGGTAGGTATTTTTTAATTGAAGTTTCTTTTCTTTCCAAAATTTTAATTTTATTTTCTTGCTTGGTTTTTGGAGGCAGTGCGCGCGCACGAGCGCACTTATTGAGAAGCCGCCCCTGAGTATTGTATATTGATCATGGTGAGCATTAGTGGAGTTTTACACCTTAAATTGTTAATTCAGTAACGACAATCAAGTTAGTACGTCTAAACCCTTAAAGATAGAGGTGCGAGGACGTGGCAACCTAGGACTCCTTTGGAAATTTACTTAATTTATGTAATGCGTGGGCTTGTGTACGTTTATGAGTTGACAATATATTATGACATTTCTGGATTCTGCGGAAAATTCTAGACATATTTCATGTAGTACAGGGTGTTTCCTCAATTTTGACACCTACCTACAGCTTTAGCTATACGAGGTGAAAAAAACTTTAAATTGAAAGCTTTAGGGTTTTATGTCTATTATTTTTTGCCAATGTCAAAATGGGAAAATGACAGGTGCCAACTGTCACAATGACAAACACTTGCATTTGTCAAATGGAACACTCTTGTAGATTTTTGGCTAGAATTATTGATTTTTTTCTTTTGACTCCAAATATACCATATAAGTTGATATTTTAAGTACCTAGTAAGTTGATATTTTACGTACCTAGTAAGCAAATATTTTATTGAAATATTTTATTGAATAATCAAAATCAAAGCTGCGAGCAAAACTCGAAGCAAAATAATTGAAATATGCATGAAAACACATATTCAAAACTAACTTGCTGGCCGCCACGCCATATTGAATTTTTCGTTTTGACAGATGGATTGAATTGCCTTAATACCTATTTTCAACTATTTCGGAAATATTTAGAATTGAAATAGCTATTTACCTAACAAGTGCGGAAAAATATTTTCCGCAAGTGTTAGGTACAATATTATTCCTACAAGTGTAAAAATGCAGAATTTTTTGTTTTGTTTTTTTTTTCCGCACTGACAGTCGTGCGGAAAAACTTTTTCTGCACTGATATGTGTGCGGTAAAAGTTTTACCGCACCGTGTGGGTAAACTCATTTTCTGCACGGATATCAGTGCGAAAAATTGATTTTTCCGCACGGCTGTAGGAAAATTGACTTTTCAGCAACTTTGACAAGCTGTGAAACTTAAAAGGTTAATTTTACAGCAAAATCGAGTTTACATTCTTAGGCCGGATTTTCATGCATCCGTTTGTCCGACGAAATATGTCCGAAAAATCTTCTATTTTGACATATTTTTATACGATTATGTCGGAATAGAATGTTTTTCGGACATCTTTCGTCGGACAATCCTTAGCTTTTCACAAGCAAACATTTGACACCAACTTCAAATTAAACCGGAGATTAAATTTAACTGGAATTTTCAATCATGGATGAAAAACTAAGACAAAATCGGTGTTGCTGTAAAATCAACCGTTAAGGTTTTACTGAGGGTTTTGGTTTTACAGCCTCAAAATTGCAAAAAAGTCAATAAAGCAAAAAAACAAAATCGACGTTCCCGAGCATCCATTTATTTTATAATATTGAATTTATTGCATACTTTATGTGAGAGTTTTCACAGAAATCACAAACCAGTCAGACGAATTTCATTGGTTGAAAACAGACAAAAAACTGGTTATTGGTGATTAATACCAATCAAAAATGCTCTGACTGGTTTGTGATTTCTGTGAGAACACAAATCTTATGTGCAGAGTGTCAAGTTATAAAGTACCACCCCCTGTAACTTTTTTATTTTTGATCCTACATAAACAAGTTACAGGAAGTGCTACTTTGTAACTTGAAACTTGGTTCACACTAAATATTAGAAATTGAACTTCTACCAAGGTGAAAAAAGAAACAATAAAATCAAATTTCTACAAGAATCATAAAACGCAGACAAAAATTGATGTGTTTATACAATTTATTTCAAGGAATTTTTCACTTGGAAGTTAAATCACATTACAATATTTCTGATTGAATTATAGCTCTTTTTTTTTAGGCAAGTTTTTTTTACACAAGTAAATGAACCCTAAACCTATAATTTCAAATTTACAATAAAATTAAAACAACTAAAGAGAAATATACAATATTATATGTACATAAATATAAATGCTGTTCGGCAGCCCAATAATAAAGACATACACCTCCTTTTTACCTCAAAATTATATACAAATATGTATAAATAAAACTATAAATATCAATAATTATTATTGTTAGGACAAGTAAAATTCAAACCATTATTTTAAGGCTAATCAATATAGTCAAAAAATTACCTTTTATTAATGGACTTAAGACTTGCTGTTAGGCGTTGTCATTAATAATTGATTTTTGTTAGATACAAAATTTCTTCACCAAATTATTTTTCCGCAAATATTTTGTTTTTAACTATTTAAAATACCAATTCACCTTCAAAATATTTGGATAAAAATGTTTTGTAAAATTAGCTAATCTATCGTTGAAAAATCACTAAGGATATTAGTAAAGTGGATGGTTTCATTTTACCTCGAACTCATTAATTTTAAGTGGATTTTTTATAACATAACATACTTCCAAACCGTTATTTTAATTATTATTATTAGTGTTTCAGATATAAACAATTAATTATTGTACTTCTCTCTAAGAAGGGATAAAGCTAGATAATTAATGCAAACAAAAATAAATTCTTAAAAATACATAATTGGAATAATAATGTAGATCAAATTTTCATGACTAATATCACAGGTTCAGTAGTTGATCATGAAAATTTAACTCCTTTGCAGGGATCAGATTTTTAAGCTCAAAAATATTGTTTAAAATTTTCACGTTGCATTCAGGCGTATTTTTAAAGGATTTGCGTAGACCCATTGGTCTTCTCCTGCTTTTCTAAAAAGCTAAAAAAACTTATGGATCAAATAAAATCTTATTAATTTTGTATTTCTTACCTTTGTTTGCCATTCTTTTCCACTCTCTTTCCTATCTTTAGCTTCGTCTCTTTGCTTTTGTTCCAAAGCCTGCTTGGCATTAGTTGCCTTATCAATTTCATTAAACCTCAAACCTGCCGTTACTTCTTTCCACAATTTCCTCGATTCGTTATCCTCTTGCAAACTAATAGGTCTAACTTGTTTCTTAGTTATAGCCATTTCATTTACATTAATAAATAATTCCGGATCAGTTCCGTCTGCCCATTTAGCTTCCATAACACCGTTCCACTCGCCCGATATACTCAGAAAGGATTTTTTCTCTTCCGGACCGTACACTTCGGCAGTTACTCGGTGTTTTTTGTTGCCGTAAAATGGCTTCGTTATAAATTCAATATCACAATGGTAGCCCGTTTGCGGGCAATGAATGTTCACGCTACCGCCCAATTCGATCCAGGGTGTCGTCAAAATTGATCTACCGTAGCCGTTCGGGAAGGTAACTATGTATTCTTCGTTGTAGTCAAGAACCTGGGAATAAAAAAATGATTTATTAATTTGACGAGCATTAACACTGTGCTTTTTATTAATTAATTTATCTTTTAAATATTTCAATTGGTATTATACTTTTTCACGATCTATTACATATTTTAAATATTTGATTATTAGTATGCGATTTTATTGGACATTTTAGTATTTGGATATTATAATCACTTGAAGGATTCATCATAATTTCTAATTCATTTCCGCACCTTTAAAATTACTTAGAATATTTTAATTTAATTTTAATTTTAATTTTAATTTATTGTTTAATACACAACAAAGTAAACTCTAAATGGTATTCTATGTATACCTGCACTTATATCTATGACAAACTTTTTTAAAAAATAAAATGTGCTATAGGTATATATCACAGCAATTAAACACACCGTGATTCACGTAGCCCGTGCATTAGCAGTTGTCCAATTTGCAGGTGGGTTAGTAGAAATAGTACATATTTATTCCACCTGCAGGTTAATGCACGGGCTACGCAAATCACCCTGTATACATACATTTGACACCTTTTCCTTAATTACTTCCCCTCAAATCATATATCGGCACTGCAACTCATTTTCTCAGAGAGCCAAGATTTATACTGCTGTATATGAAGTTACTGAAATGTGATCTATGATCGTTAAAGTTTTACTAATATTGATTTCAGTTTATTTTCGAATGTAACTGTGGTGCAATTGAAATCAAAATTCATAGGAATATGTGTGTTGAAGAGATGCATAATGCGATTTATGACACTATTTTTGCCAACATCAGTTCGGCTTCTATTGGTTGAAAACATGCCATTTAAACTCGTATCGCGTGAAGGTACACGAATGTTTATAAGTGCCAAAAGTTCTGGGTAGTTCACATTATAAGTAAGTATTTTTAACCCGAACATGAACGTCCTACGCATCTCCAAGCTATCAATATTCAGCAGTTGCAAACGATCTTGAAGTGAATTCCAAGTTTGTATAGCAAGAAGTTGATAAATTTCCCTTGAACACGTTCAATACGGGTTTGGTAATATGGCGACCAAACTATGCAGCAATACTCGAGGTGACTTCGCAGCAATGAAAAATACAGAGACTTCAGAACCTCGATATTGGAAAATTCCCCACACCTACGTAATATGAAGCCGGCCATTTTGAAGGCGTTTGCTAAGATAAAATTAATATGATTGTTAAGTCTTAATTTAGTGTCAAAAACTATTCTCAAATCGTTAATTAGATCTACTCTTGGCAGAATGGAATGTGCAATAAAGTAGGAGTGCAGTATGGGCGCTTTTTTTCAAGAAAACGATATTATCTTGCATTTGGAAATAAGCAGTTCAGTTCCATTTAACATCATTCTAATATCCTATCAACCAAATGTGACCCCTGGGGGGTAAACCAGATGTGACTGCAATGTTTCTAGATACGGCTTCCCTAATCCTAACGAGCTGTGTTCGGTTTTGGCGGTATCTTGCAACCCAAGATAAAAAAGGGCCTGTGACACCGAATTACTCTAAATTATTGAGGAGCATAACATGATCTACTCTGTTAAAGGCCTTCTTAAAATCAAAATAGATCGAATCAACCTGACCTCCAGAGTCGATAAATTCATCTGGCATGATAGCCCAGGCAGGTGTTCTGAAAGACTGTTGTATAGATTTGACAGAAGCTCGTCAGTTACAATAGATTCCAGAACCTTGGCCATACAATCAAGGCCAGATATGGGGCGGTAATTGGATATGTCTCCCCTGATACCCCCCCTCCCCTTAAATATAGCAGTCACATAGGCAGATTTCAAGAAGTTCGAGAACTGACCTGAATCAAGAAATAGCCGATACAGGTAACTAAGTGGTGACGTTAAGGTTGGATAACAGTTTTTAACGAAAATTGAAGGAATATCATCTGGTCCTGCTGCCTTTTTCTCGCTTAGTCTGATAAGTTTCTGAAGTGTATCACTGGTAATCTCTATGTTAGAAAGAACCATATTGTTGATAGAACATGGAAATGGGTTTCTAGCGATTGCAGGATCGGGTACAATATATACAGACTAGAAGAAATCTGTAAAAAAAATCTGCCACGGTCTTAGGATCGCTTGAATTGACATTGTTAAAACTCATTTTTACAGCATAGCCAGCTGTGTTACGTTGAGTTTTTATATAAGACCAGAATGCTTTATAGTCCAAGCAATGAAGGAAGTTTACCTCAACAAAATTAGAAGTTAAGATTTTTTGGGGGGGATCGGTTCATTTTTATGTGCTAAATAACATATTAGGTTTGCGACCTTGTACTTCCATAGGGTTTTTAGTTAGGGGTGGTTTTAGGGGTAATTTGCGGTTTATGGAGAACGCTGTTTAAAGGGATGGTCCAAAAGCAAAAAGTTTCAAATGATTATTGTAGCTGAAGTTTTTTGCTATAAAAAACTCCGCGACAGCACCCTTTTATCTTCTATAGTTTTTTTTCTGCAGCGTCTTGAATAGTAGCATGTTTTTGTTCAAGGTCAATAAATCAGCGTTTCATCTGTTTACGCGCATTTGGAGCAGCAGCGGCCGAATGCATAATCCGATTTAAATTTTTCAAACACCACATTATTGCTAATGAAATGCTCTCTTTAATGCTTTTTTGTTCGAATTTTTCGCTCGAAAATTAAGCGAGCACGGACTCGCCAAAGGTGCTACAAAGTTGTAAATTGCATCGAAAACTACCCCTTTCTTGGATTCTCTGTAATTTCTAAACGGGGCTAAATATTTGGTGACAGTTTTCGATAATCGGCAGCCCATTTATTCCTCTCAAAATACACCAGCGGATTTTTTTTTTCGTTTATTACTCAATGACTTATTGGCTTGAACACGTCGCGCGGAATTTTTCAAAAAGTCAAAAAGAAATTAAAATTTTCGTACAGCGCTGAAATTTGGTACAATGGCTTTATTTATTGTTCCCATGAATATACTGCAATTTTAATTGCTTCACATGACTGCTGACTTAGCTATTGGCAAAAATAGTGCACGCGCAAGTATTATTCCTTAATATTTTTTTTACAAAAGGATTTTACAACCAAATATTTTCTACAAAAATCCTCCGAAACAGTATTTGCCACAACTTTTATTTGAAAAGTTTTTTGTTGAAATGCATGGTTACTTCTGCATTTAATAACAATCGCACGCGATGCTTCCTTCGGTCGATGTTTAATCTTATGTTTATTATTGAATATTCCAACAGTCCTTATCTATCAATATTGATGTTTATTCTAAATAGTTTCCGAAAATTTGGCGGCAGGTTTCGGAGTCCTATGTAGTCTGGCTAATAACAATAACGTTGAGAGTGAAAGTGAAAATCGTCTTTTTGACAATGGCTACGGCTGAGGAATGTTGTTTCATATGTGAAAAAACTTTAGGCAATGCCGATATTATTACTGTGCAACAGCGGGGAATCGAGACTTTCAGGCGATCCAGCATAAAAAGAAAGGATGGCAAAAGTAATTAATGTATACCTATTTTATCTCATTGATTTTATCATATGTCCGTTAAATTTGCGTCGTTTTCTAGCCACGATTTGGGACGCGTGCTATCTCCACTAAATATTTTAATCAAATTTTTTTCTCAAAATATGGGATATAAAGTTTAATAGAAATAAGCGTTGATAGAGTTTCGATGACTACTCCTGAACTGCCAACAGAATCGGTATCGATCAGGGGTTAAAAGTATGAAAAAACTAACTCCAAATTGAATTTTTTCTTTTCTCGAGTTTCTGGAGGGGTAATACCTAATACCTTCAGCTTCTTAGAGGTGATTGCTAAGGTCTATTTGAACAGTCTGTCCTTATGGTTTCAGAATCGGTACAGGTTTAGGGTTAAAAATCTGAAAAAGTAACTTCAAATTGCATTTTTATTTTTTTTTCTCGAAATGTTGGATGGGGTTACACCTTCATCTTCTCAGGGATGATTGCCAAGGTCTTTTCCAGTAACTGGTTTCGAAATCGATACAGGTTTAGGGGTTGAAAATATGAGAAAAATTATTCGAATGAAGATGAAGTTGTAATCCATCCAAAATTTCGAGAAAATTAAATGCAATTTGAAGGTAATTTTTTCATATTTTCAACCCCTAAACCCGTACCGATTTTGAAACTAATTGAAGACAATGTTCAAAAAGACTTTAGTAATCATCCCTAAGAACATGAAGGTGTAACTGCATCCAAAATGTTGAGAATAAAAATAAAAATGCAATTTGAAGTTAATTTTTTCATGATATCAACCCCTAAAATCGATACCGATTCTGTTGGCAGTTCAGGGGTAGTCACCGAAACTCTATCAACACGTATTTCTATCAAACTTTAAAAAATGCCATATTTTAGCTAGAAACCGACCGACCCTAACCTCACGGACATTTCTATCATTGTCAAATAGGGGTGGGCAAAATATTGATCGATTACTAATCGATTAATCGACTGGTCGATTTCGTTTTTTGGAAATCGATAATCGTATTTTGATTAAACGATTATTTTCGGTACTATTTTCGATTAATCGATTATTTTAATATATAAATAATATATTTATAATTTTCGACAAATTTGCACTCATGCGTTTTTAACTGAAAAAGGCACTCGTGCACTACGTGCACTCGTGCTCTTTTTCAACTAAAAATGCATTCGGGCAAATTTCCCAAAAATAATCAATAATTTCCATTGCACTAGTTATATTACTATTGATAGTCGCCCAGCCCTATTGTCAAAGTATAGATAATTCAAGCTTTTGTTCATTTTTATAGGCGAACGGTATTTGACAAACATTGCATCTGTCCAAGTGCATGATGCTTGTCGGAAGTACTACAACAATGACAAGCTTTTTGCCTCATCAGCACGTCGCAACCTCACTCAGAGCCGATGTTCTTCACGAGGAACTTTTGATTGTAAAAACCAATGTTTGCTATGTGCTGAAGTAGTAACAGACGAATCATATGTGCAGAAACAGAAACGAAATCCAAATGATATTCGTTATCGAATTAGCGAGGTGAA